TCCCGCTTTAAATATTCAAATATACATCTTTCTGCTGTATTACAGCCAGAATGCTACGTATATGCAAATGATGCATATCATTTGAATATCACTTTAAGTTAAAACGTTAAGTGTAGGAAACACCACGGGAAAGATCGGTGTTGCGAAGCCTAGCCTGAAGCAACTTCCCGGCATCCCTTGATATTAGCTACTAATACACTGAAACTTTCTAGCCAGCTGCATTTAAAGTTTGCAGTGGAGAATTATGGTCCGAGTAACACAAAATGGCTTGTTTGTCATTAATGCAAAAATTAACAGCTGCAATGTGGTCGCTGCCTGGCTAGTTGCACTTTCAATCCATTCAATCATATAATACAATAAAATAGATGATCGCTGGTTATTTTGTTGTTGAATGTTGATTTCAATTTACTATGCCAGCTCATCATGGAATAAAATAATACAAATGTCCTCAAAACAGGAAAATTGTTGGAAATAATTTCACTGTACAGCTCATATAGTAGCACCCAACCAAGGTCATTCGAACCATATTTGGGTACAGCTAAACTGTTTACGTGACGTTGACATGCTACACTGCGTCGCCGCGAGAGGGCGACTCTCCTTTCGAATATTTCGTGACGTCTTTCCTTTTCGTTTTTTTCGTCAACACTTTTCTGCGACTGTACAATCCAAGCGTAATAACCACGACAAGCAAGATGATGCAGAGAATAATTATAATGCCACCAGCAAGACCAAAGGGTCCAAATATCTCATCTGTGAAAAAAAAACTCAAATGTATATCTATTCGCCAAAAATAGTATCAGTAACACAACAAATAATATAATTTAATAGCAAACAGCAAAATGCATCTTGCCGTGCGATGGTTCGAATACTCTGTCGAATATTGTAATTCATTCTTAGTTGTTTTGTCTTCCATTTGTTATATGTAAAAACTATCCTGCTTTGTATGGTCTAATCACAGGGAGTAGGAAAAATATAGTATAAAAAAAATATCATTATCAAAAAAAGGTCATTGACAAGCGGGGCATTCCATTCTGTTTCATTCAATAAGCAGTGAATACAAATGACAAGACGAACAGCCCATTATACAGGAGGGAATAGATAAAAACATTTTAATAATATTTATTTATTTAATAATACATTTTTGCTTCCTGTGGTTGAAATGCCTCTGACCACTTTAATCTCAAACAATTACTCGATTCGATTACAGGTGTGGTGTTATGTGCAAATTTGAAAAGTGGTTAAAATGAACGTGGTTATATAATAACAACAACGTCATATTTAATCTATTTATTGAACTAAAAACAGTTTCTTAGCCACCAAACTGGAGTCGGTGTCGCCAAAGAGTTAAAATTAGATTTCGTTTTATCTCCATGGTGTAGATGACAACGGTGACAAAAGTCCTTGGGTAGTAAAAACGCTGCCAGAAATCCTGAATTGGCGTCCGCGGCGATATCTTCACCGATCGCTTTACGAAGCACGCCCGAACACAATGTAATTCACATGTGGGTTAGTGATGATGTATTCCTTTGATCTTAATTGAATCGAGCGGAGTCTTGCGCATGCCGGCATTAGATTTTGAATAGATTGGTTCCAACACGTGGCAATGAGCGCTGAAATTCCTACTTACCTCTTGCACATAAAACGGCGTCTTCATCTTCTCCGTTCGGACAGTCTTCAAACACATTACACACGTCGACGCCATCTAGGATTACGGTATCGTTGTTAACAGGGTCAGTTGAATTACATACGAATGTACATGTTTCATCTGGAGAAGAAAGCAAAACTGTTTTACGTACACGAACTGGTATTATGTTTATATGTGTGTGATGTGATTAAAATTATGAAAAAAAAACGTAAAAAAGAAATCGTAAATTATTAAATTAAAGTCGCATAAGAAAAAAATACATGAAAATAAGTTATAACCTAATTGCATGTACATTCAAAGGTGCGATGTCAGGTGTTCCGAAAAGGATGAGTACATTCTGCTCCACGTGTGGCACACACCGCTGTCTGAAACACTATTTTATTTGTGAAACATGAAACATGGAACTTGGTTACGTCACTGCCATGGTATGCATATGACGCAATCTTCGTTTTGGTAAGAACCACCTTAAGGGTTTATTTGCAGGGTTTAAACCTAGTCAAATGAGGGGAGGGCAATCCCAATGGGATTTCGCTGTCACACGACTTTCGCGTTCAGCCATCGTTCACGCAATTTAGATTTATTTTTCAAGAATTTTTCATCGGAATCGCAACAAACTGCAAGCAAGTCTATGCTAAACACTGTAAATAACTGTCCTGCTCAAAATAATTTTTAAACGATAGTGAACGTAAATTGCTGAAAACAAATGCTGTCATACTGAATGAAACATTTAGACGACCTATCACTTTACTAAAACATCCGCGGTTATATGCTAAGCCCTGTTGTTTGAAATATAAAAAAATGGTTAGAAGAGAAAATAATTCAGAAAGAAAATATGGTATTGTTTTTATCTCGACAATACTGTGCCAATATTTTTATTGGATCACAATAAGATTAAAATGGTCTTACCTCGCGTCACAGCAAAGTCTTCCTCGTTCTCATACTCCCCGACACAGTTCTGTACACTATCGCATTTCAATCGATTGTCGATACATAACAAATTTTCCTGATTTCCATTCTTCTTTCGGCAAATATAACACGATTTGTCTGTAAATATACCACGCACTGTATGTAAATATAACACGCACTGTATGTAAATATACCACGACTTGTCTGTAAATATACCACGCACTGTATGTAAATATACCACGCACTGTATGTAAATATAACACGCAATGTATGTAAATATACCATATAATGTCTGTTGTCTGTGAATATGCCACGCATTGTCTGTAAATATAACAAGCATTGACAGTAAATATAACACGCATTGTTTGTAAATATACCACACATTGTCTGTTGTCTGTGAATATACCACGCATTGTCTGTAAATATACCACGCATTGTTTGTATATGTATATATATAACATTGTTCGTAAATATAACACACATTGTCTGTTGTCTGTAAATATACCACGCATTGTCTGTAAATATACCACGCATTGTCTGTAAATATACCACGCATTGTCTGTAAATATAACACGCATTGTCTGTAAATATACCACACATTGTCTGTAAATACTTTGTAAGTTATGTTATGTACCCCGGTAAAACATAATGTTATCATTATTTTCAATATAACAACATTAATAATTGAGTATAGCTATTATCTTGTATCGCTACAGCACTTACGTAGACTCGGTTCCAGCATAGTCACTCTACTAGGAGAGTGACTGTGGTTTCAGTCTCTCGCCGCTGTACTACTGTGACACAGCCGAGGGCGCTCGACGTATAACAAACACATACTGTTGAGGGCAGTATAACAAACAGGAATGGCAAATCAGGATACGCACGAGAGACTGAACATCGAATCTATACACCATTACGTTTTTATATGTTATTTCACTATTGTGTCTGGGGTGAATTCTCAAAATTATCTCTCTGCAATACGCATGATTGGTATATGAACACGGCAGCATGTAGGTACTATAACCCTAATATTATAAATGATCATTTTGTCATTTTATAAAAAAAAGTTATACTATACGTTTTTTGTATATTTGACATACTAGAGAAATTATAAACAAATAAGAGAACACTGAGAGAAAATGTCAGATTTGAAAAAAACATACATATAAATGCACATATAAAAAAATGACATGGTCTTACATGGTAACACAAAAAGACTAAATAAAGCCCAAAAACGTATAATGAACAGAGGAGACACTATTTTGCACATGTTGTCTGTACGAGGCGCAGAATGTAAATTTATTATTTTGTGTATACTAGAATAAAACTGACTAATAATTCTAAATTACGTGCGTATTGGAGGCCGTGGCGTGTGTGATTTAAATTGGTGTATGCATTTTAAAAACGGTGTGATTGTGCTTTTTAATGGTATGTGCATTAAATGTATTGTATTAAAAAATGATGTGTGTATTTTAAATAGCGTGTGTGCTTTAAAAATTATGTGTGTTTAAAAAATGACGTGTGTGTATTAAAAATGATGTATGTATTAAAATAATGTGTGTGTTTAAAAACGATGTATGTGTTTTAAAAATGACGTGTGTTTAAAAACGACGTGTGTGTTTAAAAATGACGTGTTAGTTATAAAAAGACGCGTGTGTATTAAAAATCATGTGTTTTTAAAAACGACGTGTGTGTATTAAAAATGATGTGTGTGTTTAAAAATGACATGTGCATTTAAAAATAATGTGGGTTTACAAAATGACGTGTATGTTTTAAAAATGACGTGTGTTTAAAAAATGACGTGTATGTTTTAAAAATGACGTGTGTTTAAAAACGACGTGTGTGTTTAAAATGACGTGTTAGTTTTAAAAAGACGCGTGTGTATTAAAAATTATGTGTTTTTAAAAACGACGTGTGTGTATTAAAAATGATGTGTGTGTTTAAAAATGACATGTGCATTTAAAAATAATGTGTGTTTACAAAATGACGTGTATGTTTTAAAAATGACGTGTGTTTAAAAACGACGTGTGTGTTTAAAAATGACGTGTGTGTTTTAAATGATGTGTATATTAAAATGGCGTGTGTGTTTAAAATGACGTGTGTGTTTTTAAAATGACGTGTGTGAGGTCGAATAGAAATTTCGTGTGTAAAAAAAAACGCGTGCATTAACATTTTTACGCCTGTAGGGGGCGCTATTTTTGAATGATTTTTTTTCGTGTGTGTGCAAAAAAACGCGTACATTAACCTTTTTACGCCTGTTGAGGGCGCTATCTTTGAATGATTTCATCGATTTTTTTTCGTGCGTGTGTAAAAAAAAAATCGTGTGCATTAACCTATTCACGCCTGTGGAGGCGTCGTCTCAAGTGGTAGAAATTTTCGTTTGTAGATTTCTATAACATCAATGAGGTACGTAGGAAGAAACGTGTCCAGCGCGAACATGTTATTCATTCATTCGGCCTTATAAATTTACCGACACTGTCAGAGGCCTGTCGA